TGTAAAATTCCTGATAATTTTCCAAACAAATGTACTTCAAATATGTGAAGCTTACGTGTGACCTAATGGCTTATTTAGTCCCAGCATTGTTCCAGAAAAGCAGCGCCATGTTTTTCATGGCTTCATTTCTTGCAGCGGAGAGGAACAATATCAAGTGACATCAAACCCAATGTCTTTCTTTTTGGTTTAATGGCCGATTGCATAAACAAACCGTGACCTGATATCTTGAGGGATCTTGTAATCTCACAAGTCCAGCGAAAAGCACAGTGAGGAAGCTGTGCCGCTGACAAGACTCGTCTGGTGTGAAAAGGCCCGCTTTGAAGTTTGCGAGGAAATCGTTTCACTGCCATTTTGCACCGCTGATGTTTCAAGCGTGAAATCCGGGTGACAACTAAAAATAATTAACTTTAGTTTACCTCCTCACACCTTTTAGGTATTAGAGTAATGCCTTTAAATGTTTTGATGGTACAGTACGATGTCATTTCATGTCCTGTTTACAAGCAATACTGCACATCTTAGAGGAACAATTTCAAACTGCTCCACATTTTCACAGAAGTTAAATCATTGGATGAGATGAAAGATACACATATTTTAGTTGACTAAAATTCAAACAAATTAGATGATTAATAAGACCCAGCCTAAAACTAAGTTAAAAAATCTTGTCAAAATGAACACATTGGGATGTCACCAATGCGACCCCCTTGTTGAAAGTTTCTACTGGTACCATCACCTGTTCCTTCCTACTTCTTGGCTTGTTCAACTGAATCATTGAGAAGATGTCTGCTTTGCTGATATTAACGGGTTGGAAACCAACAAGCCTAGATCATGGTGTCTACTGGCCTGCAGCTGTCATGGGTGTCGTGTGATAACCATCACAACAAAATTAGCTGTCCCAGGAATCGATAAGTTCTGATAAAGTCTGCTTTTGGTATTCTGAATGTTAAAGGGACATTAGGAAAAAGTTCTACCTACACACTTTGCTGATGAGCCTCCACTTAAAAAAATAACAATCGTCTTTATGTCAAGAAAATAGAAGCTGAGAAATTTCAATCGTTTTAGAATGAAAATATGCCTTTAGGAAAAAAGTGAAATTGCTGAACACATTTGTTAAAGAGCCAGCTGCAGAAATCCTTGTCTCGCATTTATATCACTTTCAATGCATTTTAATTCAATCTCGAAGGTCATCAACACGCCACGTTGGATTTGACTCTCCAGTTGAACCAGACAACAGTAAGCTCCGTCTAGACAAAGGCTGGTTTCATGTTAGCAGAGCCCATTCATTTGGTTGTTCTACTCAGTTTAGTGTGTTGGATTCACTGGTTAATGCGAATATTTATTTATGGACAAATGTAGTTATTTTTGCTCTGTTAAACTTTGACCTGTCCTTCAGATTTCAGTTATCTTCTAAAGTCTTCCAATCCTGTTGCTAATGCTCATGGGGAGTCCAGATGTGCTTTTCACTGCCTTTCCTCTTTAAATTATTCACCTGCAACTTGTGACAACCCCCCCCCCCCCCCCCCCCCCCCACACACACACACACCCCCATTACATACCCTCCTTTGTTGCCTTTGTTTTCTGCTACATTCTGATAACATCTCATCATAAAGTCTTGTTCTCTGTCTGCGCTGTACTCAGCTAAGCTTTTCTCCTTCGATTTGATTTATATCTCAGAATTATGTTTGGACTTCTGAATTCGCTCCCTTGCCATGGTCCTTGATTTTTATTTTGTTCAATAAAAGCTTTTTAGTTCCGTCATCCGTCTGCCTTCTGACTGTTAAGTCCTCCTTCACCTTGAACGGTGTCAAAGTCCATGTTTGTCTGCTGAGTCACTCAGGGAGATTTCCTTTGCCAAATATATAACTGTGTGTAAATTTTTTATCCGTTTAATTCAAACATGTTCTAATTTCAGTTGTTTCTGATGTTAACAAATGTAAAGTATGTTTTGGCTTTTGTTCTGTGTTTAGATAAAGTTTCATTCCTCAACTCTGCACTTGGATTTCTTCACTGATCTGGTTGTGCGACGTTTGATTGTGATGAGCAGATGGTCGTGTGTGCTTCCCAGATGGTTGTGTTGGCATTCCGTCTTTGGACCATGAGGTCAATCTTTCAGTGGAAATGTTTGGAAATCCACAATAATCTCATTTAATATAATCTATGAACATTTGTTTATTCTTTCAATTTGATGTAACAATACAGTCACACTTTCTTTTCCAGTAATTATTGGTTTAAATGGAACTCAGGTTACAAAACTGTGTGGTTCTTAAAAGATAAACGTTAGTATCAGTTATATTAAAGTGGTGTAAAAAACCTTCTTAATGTCTTCATTTTAATAACATTTGTAAAAATAATTTAACTCGCAGGTCGCCATTGTTGTTAGCGTTGCAATGCACTCTGGGTAGTGACGTCATACGGTTGTACCTCGGTTGCACCGACCGGCTTTGGGACCCTGTTGTGACTGTTCAGCGACATCAACATGTCATCTGTTTAGCCTTTTCAGTTTGAACCAGAGTGAAACTTTAATTAGGACATCGATGATGTTTCCCAAACGAGCATCAAAATGAAGAGCAAGAAGGGCGGGATGAAGCGAGAACAGGACAAAACCTGTGGTGTGTGTGCGGAAAATGTGTCTCCATGGTAACTGAGAGGGAGAGTGTTTGTTGTCAAGAGCTCACATTTTTGTCAGCAGACGTTAACGGTAAGCTATCGTGTGATCAAACTTATTCAGTTAAGAATGGTTTTGGAGAATATTAGCATCCAGAGCTGTCTTGTGCTTCATAGATTATTAGGATATTCAGTGAAATGACTTTAATCATTTTTGCAGATATTATATATTTGGAGAACACTGTACTGCTACACTTACTGCTTGTTTTACTGACGGGAGAGGTGAATGTTCAGCTTCATCCATGACGAGTGGCGTGTCCGATGGCTCGCCCAACATGACAGAAGCGGCAGCTGCAGGAGTGTGTTGTCGGCTCAGGAGAGCGTCCAGCATCTCTTGTCTCTCCGAGGGCGTTTAGGCTCCTTGTGTGGGAAAATGGTCGGTAAAGCATTTAGTTTCCACCATCCCTTATACCCAGCCGCTCTGGTGAGCTCTTTAGTAGTTGTGGTCGACTATAAGCCTCAAACGCATGAGGAGAAAAAAGTTGGGAACACAGCCGCGGATCTTTGGGAAGTTGTGCCCGTCCACAGGCATCTTCCCACTGCTTCCTCCTCTCCTTTGCCAGTGGGAAAGCTGTGTAAACTCACATCACTTCCCTTGTTGCCCTCTGACTGGAAATTACATCCAAAAGCAGCACAATGAGGCATTTTACTTAATTATTAATACGGTGAGCGTGTAAACAAACACTAGCGTTCTTCCTAGCGCAACCAGTATACGTCATCGCCCCCAGAGTGCATTGCACGCGGAAAACATGGCGTCCTACGTATGTCCAAAAATTTACTAAATATTACAGATTTATAAATAAACAGCAATATTGTGTGTGTTTCTAACAACATAGTTTGGTACAACAGAAAACTTGTGGCTTATTAGGGCATACATGTCCTCATAGCCGGAGTTCCTTTTAAGGGGTCGAGGGCATTTGCAGCAGTACTGCCTTCTTTTTAGTTGAAACCAAATAGCTTGATGTGTTTATTTTTCTGCTGTGCTGTTTTATATCTAAAACACAATTCTCCACATTTGTTTCACCAATTATTTTTATCAATACTGATGTTTAAGCACCAGTAAAGTCCTGTAGACGCTGTTTTGGGTCTTAACAAATTAAAACCGATGTCTCCCTTGGAGTCTTCTCTAGTATGGAGGGGGATTTCAGAGGTGACAATGATGGACTGTTTACAAGCTCGATCCATACATTTCTATAATGCAAAGATGTGCTTCAGTGGTGAGAAGTGACCTGTGATACATTTAGAATTTGTCTCCAAAGGGGAAATCAATAATTCTTTTGAGCTGCTTGGTAAGCAAATCGAAATTCCTTAGCAACATATAATGAATACAAAATGTCACCTGACATCAAAATTTATTTTTTAATGGAGAAAATTAATAATTCTTGTAGGTTCTATGGTGGAAATGATGACGCCATAACTCTATTTTCCAAAGGGAAGAAAAATCAGTGCAGAAATTTTCTAAGTCACAAATCCACATCGTTCTAACGTCTCAAGGGTATTTTGATTTGGCCAAGTTATTCATTCCTTTGCAACAACAGCTTTTTCCCATTGCTGTCAGACACATTGTCCCCTTGCTGCAATAGATTTGCTTCCTCAATACAAAACAAGATACTAACTTTTTAACACATGTCATAAAGCTGTGAGACATCTCATTCAGAGCACAAGGACCCACGTTGATCTGAGACTTCAGACATGTCATTGGAGAGAACAAACGGTAAGCCATCTGACGGTTTCTCAAACGACAAGCCTGTCACAAAACAGCCAAAAGCTTAGAAGTGCAGTTCACTTGACACTTAGTCTTCTGGGATGAGTCTCAAAAGTGTTGCCCCATTAAAGAAAAAAAAATAGGAGAGTGGGTGGGAGAATGAGATTGGGGTACATAACAAATAAAGCAGTGGCCTACAAAAGATCCAGAGGGAGCGCTCTATGTGCATCCTTGGTATCCATTTAACAGGAGAGCTTACAGCAGCCAGCTACTTACAGCCCAACTGAAGTGCTATATTACTCACCAAGCTCAGCTGGAAATGCTATTGAAAATGTGTTTGCCTAGGATCTGCTCTCCTTTATCAATCCAAAACAGCAGGGGTGGGAGCTTTAAGCACTATGCCAGGGTTCCAGCAAAAGCAAACAACATTTCAGACAGGAAAAAAGAGGGGAAATGGCTGCACAAATAAGATTTCAGTTTTGTCTCTAACACAGCGCATCCTCTTGATTCACACCGAGGCTTCACAGACAGTTGGACAAAAAAATGCAGACTATGAAGTAAAAGCTCATGATTAAAACAAAAAGGCAAACCTGAAGGAAAAACAGGTGGAAAGGGCTCTTAATTTGAAACTCACCAATGAAAAGGTTCCATTCTGCATCCAGGTCTGCCTGATTAGCCAGACAGCCCCTCATGACGTTGTAGCAGTAGCCATGGCAGGGTGTCAGCCCAGGCATGCCGCGGCAGTATGGACAGTACCGCATCTTGGTCAAGGCTTTGACGCACGCCGGAGCTACGTTCACCTGAAAGAAACAAAAGAAGACTCTTCTGTTCAGTCAAGCCACTGTTTCTGTCTACGGTCCAATACATAAAGTGAAGATCAGTTTGGGCTGCTCGATTATGGCAAAAATGATAATCATGATTATTTTGACTGAAATAGAGATCTCCATTATTTAAGACGGTTTTCAAATAACATAGATTTATTTATTTATTTTGTCATAAAATTGCACAGGTCACATTAAGAGAGAAAGAAAAATAAAGAAAAAAAATACAGGATTATCACAAAAGCAATTCTTGAATCCTCGTGTAAACGAGCCAATACACCTCCTTATATGCTCCGATAGATGAACTGTTATTATTCATCAGTGTGAGAAACTGGAGCTGTGGCGTGCGTGCACAAAGGCACATGATGAGCGTGAGACTTGGCAGTCCTGATAAAATATGAATCCACTTCAGATATGATTCGCTGTGAATTTATTTAAATTGTAAAACAGTTTTTTGGCAAGTGCGCTACACTGAGAAACGTTAGATTTGTTATTTGGCGTCACGTGATCATGCTGCACGTACGCACATCATTCCCTTTCCTAATGTCTAGAAAGACAGTCTGGAGCACAGCTGAGTGTTTTGCTAATCTGCTGAGAAAATCGGTGGCAAATTTAAATAGAAGTAGCTTAAAGTCGTCAGACATGTTCTAGGTTGTTAGTCAAGAAAGTTGCATGAAATAGCATCAAAGTTACTAAGTTGGCAATGCTGTGTCGGAGGTGCGATTGATTCGCAACTCAGAGTAAGGCAGGAGTACACCTCGAGAGAGGAGCAAATAATTGGCTTGTTTAGTTTTTTTTAAACCGTTTAAAACCCAGATAATAATAGTTATAAAAAGTTGATTACTTGAGCTGCTCTAAGATCAGCGTAATAAACGAGTGCGAGTTTGAGAATTTTCAGCTTTTGTTAAACATCCCCAGTTTTTTTTGACTGGATATGCCAAAACTTGAAATACAGCAAAGTCATAGGATAAACTGCACAACAATACAAGGTTTACAAGTATGTCCTTCTCAGTTCTTCATAAAAGCTGTGCCTTTGTTGTTGGGCCATGTCACTGCATCCACTTTAATGGAAGTGACAGGATTCTCACATCTGCTTCCTGTCAGAGGTGGAGATGCAGAACAGAGAGTGCATCTGATAATTGGCCTGTCAGCCTTTGTATTCATGCTCGAGTTTAGATGTTGTCCAACACACTCTAGAGACTGTGTGCGCGTGTGTGTATGTGTGTGTAGCATTGTAAAAATGTCCAATACATAGAAGGGTTTGATTGTGACAGAAGACAAGCTAAACAATATTTTTAGACAAATAGGAAAAGAAATGGAAGGGCACTGTTCGTGAAACACAGTGAGTTTAAAAAAAAAGTAGTGATACAAAGGTGTTGGCTTACACCTTGAAAATCCCAAATTTGATTCTCGTCTGGTTCTTCCTGTGTGGTTTGCACGTTCTCTCCACACGTACATGAATTTTATTTAGCATGTTGTGATTTCCTCTCAGCTCAAAAGCAATTATGTTTGCTCAATCGGTTACTCTAAAATAATCTCAAGTGTGTGTGTGTGTGTGTGTGTGTGTGTGTGTGTGTGTGTGTGTGTGTGCGTGTGTGTGTGTGTGTGTGTGTGTGTGTGTGTGTGTGTGTGTGTGTGTGTGTCTATGGTTGATATTCTTGTGTGTACCTGTGTTGGTCCTGTGATGGACCGGTGAACACGGGGCATATCACATCTCTCATCAAAGCTGCAATAGCAGATCTGTCAAACGAGCTAGCTGCTACACAAAGACAGTCATAAAACTCATCATCATCATCACCCCTAGCCCCCCCAAACACACACACACACACACCAAAATGTGAATGCCACGTGCATTGCCAGAGGACACGATAAACATCAGTTGCCGTTGTGTAGGTCCAAACGTCTTTTTGTTTTCAATGACTTCAAATGCTGTTTTCTGTTTGGGATTCTGGTAGTTTGTCCTAAAGTTGAGGCGGTAGCAGCTGGCTGTTTCTCCTTCTCTGGTGTTATTGAGTGAAGAAGGGAGGCTCCATATCACCCCAGTGTTTGCATGGCTATACTGATTTAGACTTAGATACAGGATTGAGTTCAAGATCCTTGTTTTTGTTTTCAAGGCATTACAGCGAGGAGCCCCTTCCTGCCTGTCTGAGCTGATTCACATGTGAACTCCAGCGTCCTCACCGCTCCTCGGCTTCACACCTTTTAAAAATAAATTGCGCTGGGATCGAGCATTCAGCGTTGTTGGTCCAAACGTAGGAATACCCTACCTTTGTCAGTAAGATTGGCCCTTACCATTGCGACATTCAAGAGCAGGCTCAAAACTCACTTTCATAAACTTGCTTTTACACAACCTGCACTTTAAATTCTTGTTTTATGGAATTTACTTAGCTGTTTTATTTGGGTACTGTTCAACACTTTGGTGTATCTTCCTGATTGTTAAAAGTAATTTACAAATAAAGTTTGATGATGATGATGATGATGAACCTCAAACACTAGAGGTGTTCTGCTGCAAAATACGTGAGCGCATAATAAGTGCAGAACCCAGGTAAATGCGGAAGTTTGGTGGCCCGATTAGAGACTACTGGTTTCAGATTGATCCTGGTTATTTTCTGAGGTGCTAACAGGAATGCGAGAGAACCAGTTAACTGTTTTTTTTTTGTTTTATCTCACAAAATGTACAGGTGCTGGCCAGTAAATTAGAATATCATCAAAAGGTTGAAAATATTTCAGTAATTCCATTCAAAACGTGAAACTTGTACATTATATTCATGCAATGCACACAGACCAATGTATTTCCAATGTTCATTACATTTAAATTTGATATTCATAAGTGACAACTAATGAAAACTCCAAATTTGGTATCTCAAAAAATTAGAATATTCTGAAAAGGCTGAATATAGAAGACACCTGCTGCCACTCTAATCAGCTGATTTACTCAAAACACCTGCAAAGGCCTTTAAAAGGTCCCTCAGTCTTGTTTTGAAGGCACCACAATCATGGGGAAGACTTCTGACTTAACAGCTGTCCAAAAGACAATCATTGACACCTTGCACAAGGAGGGCAAGACACAAAAGGTGATTGCTAAAGAAGCTGGCTGTTCGCAGAGCTCTGTGTCCAAGCACATTAACAGACAGGCGAAGGGACGGAAAAAATGTGGTAGAAAAAAGTGTACAAGCTCTAGGGATAACCGCACCCTGCAGAGAATTGTGACGACAAACCCATTCAAAAATGTGGGGGAGATCCACAAAGAGTGGACTGCAGCTGGAGTCAGCGCTTCAAGAACCACCACAAGGAGACTCATGAAAGACATGGGATTCAGGTGTCGCATTCCGTGTGTCAAGCCACTCTTGAACAAGAAACAGCGCAAGAAGCGTCTCGCCTGGGCCAAGGACAAAAAGGACTGGACTGATGCTGAGTGGTCCAAAGTTATGTTTTCTGATGAAAGCAAGTTCTGCATTTCCTTTGGAAATCAAGGACCCAGAGTCTGGAGGAAGAGCGGAGAAGCACAGAATCCACGTTGCATGAGGTCCAGTGTAAAGTTTCCACCGTCAGTGATGGTGTGGGGTGCCATGTCATCTGCCGGTGTTGGCCCACTCTGTTTCCTGAGGTCCAGGGTCAATGCAGCCGTCTACCAGGAAGTTTTAGAGCACTTCATGCTTCCTGCTGCTGACCAACTTTATGGGGATGCAGACTTCACCTTTCAACAGGACTTGGCACCTGCACACAGTGCCAAAACCACCAGCACCTGGTTCAAGGACCATGGTATCCCTGTCCTTGATTGGCCAGCAAACTCGTCTGACCTTAACCCCATAGAAAATCTATGGGGTATTGTGAAGCGGAGGATGCAATACGCTAGACCCAACAATGCAGAGGAGCTGAAGACGACTATCAGAGCAACCTGGGCTCTCATAACACCTGAGCAGTGCCACAGACTGATCGAGTCCATGCCACGCCGCATTACTGCAGTTATTGAGGCAAAAGGAGCCCCGACTAAGTATTGAGTGCTATACATGCACATTCTTTTCATGTTCATTCTTTTCAGTTGGCCAACATTAGAGAAACAAACATTTTTTCATTGGCCTTTAGAATATTCTAATTTTCTGAGATACCAGATTTGATGTTTTCATTGGTTGTCACCTATAAATATCAAAATTAAACGTAATGAACATTGGAAATACATTGGTCTGTGTGCATTGCATGAATATAATGTACAAGTTTCACGTTTTGAATGGAATTACTGAAATATTTTCAACCTTTTGATGATATTCTAATTTACTGGCCAGCACCTGTATAGCTATACAATCAATCCTTAAAGCAGCTTGTTTTACAAAGCTTCCATTGTAGCTTTAACTGCAGGACAAGACATCCAAGCAAGGTCAAAAAATGAATGAGTGACTTATTTGTGTTTTGGATGCAGGTGCTGGAACTTTAGACATATGGATGAAGTGTTGATTTTAGGGGGCAGATGCATTTCAGATGCATGGCTAATGGTGTCTCATTTAATTCAATTCAGTTTAATTAAATAGCGACAAGTCGTCTCAAGGCACTTCACAAAATAAAACATTCCAATTGAGTTCAGTTTATTATGCTAATTAAGTTTCCTATGTAGGAACCGAGCAGACTGCATTTCACTGACTTGTTGTGTCAGAGACTTTACAGAATTCCCCAAAGTTATTAATTTACAAATAGAGGCCAATAAGGTAAAACCTGTACTGCAACCAAACACAAGGGGACCTTTGATTAGATCCCTTTGTCTCTTCATTTATATTATTTTTCACTGGAAAAAAGAAAACCTGTAAAAATGCACAAAGCCCTGTGATACTAATACAGCACCGATAAGAGAAGGGATTAGAGAAATTCAAAGATTTGATTACAAAAAGAACACATTAGTGCAGTTTTGTAGCTTCAAGGCAACACCTGAATCTCTGCACAGCACTAAATCCACCCTCTTTCTTTAATTATGTTTAGAACAATCCACT